TAAGAAGTATCCTTACAGCAGATTATTTATGAGCTGCTGGGAATAGGCCATATGCTGCTATTTACTTGAACGGGAACTTTTTATTATACATATTTAAAATTTATATCAAAATAAAGGGCAAAGATTGCGAAAATCTTGCGCTGATTATAATAAACTGCACCAAAAGCATAGTTAATTAGGCTTTTAATAGCGTCTGTCTGACTCTGCGTAGTACATAAAACTTTTAAGAGAAGTCCTGCCAACTGCCCAAGTCAGCAAACACATGCTCTATAAAAGTGCTCATAAAATGAGACAGCCCTCTGCTTGTTTCACTAAATTATATGTCCCTACTTTATGTCTGGCCGTTAAATAATGCATGAATCAAGTGTGCGAGGCTAGGATAATATTCGGTTCAGTGGCTAAGCCGATGATTTACCAATTTATAACTTAATTTCATTGTCTGGCCTAGACAGCACTTAATCGAATTTCATTTAATATGCAGATTATTATGTACGAGTACATAAAATATTAGATTGGTGTTAGTCTAATACCAAGGGCCACAATAGTAAGAGCCACAAGGCTGTGAAAGGTAATCTTCTCTCTCATTAGGCTGCCGCCTAGCGAGCTGTGAAATGCTGAGTGGAAAGCGTTTGCCAAGCGAATGGCAAAAGTTTTAGAGCCACAGCTGAGGGCTTCTTTGTTTTTATGTTCGGCTCTTCTACATGGCGGACTCTGTACTCCTCAGCTCTTGTTTCTATTCTTTTATTAAGTTTTTTTAACAGTACTCTATGGGAGTTGTCGATGGACTTATAGATACCCTGTAACTAGTTGGTAAGCAGTTACTATATGTATATACAGATCTACTTGCACTAAAATTAATATTATCGTCAACATCAACCAAATTTGATTTTTCTGGTAATAATATATTTTTAAAATATTTTTTTTCTCGTTGAAATTGATACGATAAATAATTTCATATTTATTCTATAATATACATGAAATTATTATTGATTTGTCTCTTGCATATTCCATCAACAATTCGTCAATTGACGGTTCGCATTGTATTTGCTTACATATTACGTATACGCAAATAAACTCATCATAGTCTCATACAATATTACGTATACGTAAATAAGCGCGCTACTCTCCAACAATATTACATATGTATATACGTAATTTAATTTGCTTCACTCAAACAATATTTGATATGCTAATGCATATATTTGTCTCTTCTTAACACCTTTGTACAACATATTAATTAAGATAAGCATAATTTCAATTTCAGTTGAAGAATCTCAGCTTGCCCGAGGCTGTCCACCGCAGTGTTTACTGATTTTAATCTTAAGTGCGAACTCATTTTCCAATTCACACTTCAGAGCATGCTATGTACACAGTTGCACAGACACACACACAAACGCACACATACATACATATATTTCACTAAGTACTATGTAGCTGACTTGTAAAAGCAATGACAACATTAAAAGTACAACAAC